TTTTTTTAAAACAAAAGGCGACGCTACGGTCGCTTCTCGCGACACTGTCGCCTCTCGCCACACAGGCATAGGTGAGTGTTATTTTGAAACGCAACGCAACAGATGGTCTGTAACGACACTGTCTCGCCTCGCCTCACGCTATTAGCGCTGAGGCGAGTGCTATTTATAACACTGAGCAGTCATACAAATTTTCTAGTTCTAGTATAGAGTTGTGAAGAAATGGTTGTACAGTTTTAAACTAAATATAAGTTTTAAGTTATATATTCAATACTTAATTTTTAATACAATGAACCAAACACTTGATAAAAAAATAATATCTGTATTATATCCTTGAAGAGCTAATCTTTGCATAAATTGTTTCTAAACCAAACGATCAGTAAAACTTATCCGCATCGGATGTTTATATCAAACTATGTTAATTCATCATGCTTAAGTGATTTAATAAGGCGAGAATGCATATAATTTACCATGGTTAAGTGCTTGAAGTTCATGGGCAAGACACATGTTATGTATCTATTGGTTTAGAGTAAGCACCCGATACGAATAAATTTTTACCTCAACCCTTAAAAGTATTAGTTCATTGCGTAATAATTGGGTTGGTTCATTGAGATATATGATTTACATGTGCTTGACTACCATTGCCGCAATTGTTCACTACCCGTATACCTCTCTTCTCACCACTTTAAAGAGGTGAATAAAAATTTTGCCACTTAGGGACACGTGGCAGCGCCGAAGGCTAATCCTTTTTTTGCTAATCAACGTAATTAGGAAATAAGTTGAACAAAATAATACTTCATCCGTCTATAAAGGGCATAGATAAGCTCTTTTGATAACGGTGGGAACTTATTTGATCCCAATTATAACCGAGAGCAAAAGTCATTTCAATTAAGTTGACGTTGAGGAAGGGTGAAGTAAGACAAGAGTGGGTTGCTCTAGTGGTGAGCACTCTCCACTTCCAACCAAGAGGTTGTGAGTTCGAGTCACCCCAAGAGCAAGGTGGGGAGTTCTTGGAGGCAGGGAGCCGAGGGTCTATCGGAAACAACCTCTCTACCCCAGGGTAGAGGTAAGGTCTGCGTACACATTACCCTCCCCAAACCTCACTAGTGGGATTGTACTGGGTTGTTGTTGTTGTTGAGGAAGGGTGAAGTAGAACTTCTGTTCATACTTAGGGACCATTTCGGTTAAAATTTTGAAATGCCTTAGGACTATAATTGCAAAAACTAAAAAAAGTTATATTATCTAGGTTAATTTGTGTGTCTTACTTATAGTTTTGATGTGCTTTAAAAAATAATTATTTTTATAATATTTTCATTTTATCTTTAATGATACACAAGATTCCAAAAGTATATTTGGAATGTTAAATTTAAGAGAACAAGATTGATAGTGTTTGTTACATTCTTAAAGTTACAGAAAAGAAACGGAAGGAGGAGGAGGAGGAGGAGGAGGAGGAGGAGGAGGAGTAACA